AGGAGAGGAGAGGAGAGGAGAGGAGAGGAGAGGAGAGGAGAGGAGAGAAAAAACCATCAGCTTTACCACAGCCAATTCCAAATTTAACTGTGTAATTCAAGGATGGATATTTTTGGTATTTTTTTTGTTTTTTTCCTTTTTGGAAAAAATAATAAAGCTATGCTAAGTTGAGGGATTACACTCCAAACCTTTTACCCATTCAAGACTTCTTCCATTTCAGAAATAATTTCCTCATTTAGAGGAAACTGTGGAAATATTTAGCTCATAGATTCTAGCAGAAGATCTCAAAAGTGGGCTAACACACACACTTGCTCCTGAGGAACTGCAGCTTCCAAGTAGTTCACAGACTACTACTGCCTACTAAAAAGCATTTTGAAAACCCAATGACTGTCCCAGTTTGGAAACAGTCTGATTTCATGTCTAGTAGGGCTTATACCCCAAACGAACATGCGTAATCCCTAAATTCTGGAGACAGAATTCAATTTTACAGCAGTTTCCCATCTTAAACATTTGGGTTTAGCTCAAAGTCTAACTGAACAGAAACATTTAAGGCCCAAGTTTTCTCTGACCTGCACTGCACCAGCTTCTGAATGCAGTTAGCCAAGTAAACCAAGCACACATGGGACAGCCCTTGGTTACAGAGCCATCATCCTTCCTGGTACTGCCCGAGAGCAAAAGAAAAAGGCTTCCAACATTCTGTTAAACACACAAATAGATGTGGAAACTCTAAATGTGACTTTCTGCCCTTTCTTGAGCTCTCAGCCAAACCATGGCCCAGCAAAAGTGGATTTACAGCTCTTTTTGCCTCTAAGCCCTGCTCAGAAACCACGACAGGGCAGAAGCAGGTGGTGAGTGCCACAGTCAGTTGAGTTAGGCAAAACAAGAACGAGGTTCCAAATAGCATTTTGCTGAGCCAGGTAACTACTGGAGCAGGAACCAACTAGTGTGCCTGGTACAGCAGGTGGGAAAGTAGGCAGGATGGTTATCACCAGGTCTTTGCTGCTGACAGAGACCTCTGTAGAGTTCATCTCAGCATCCTCGGCCTACACTCTGGGCTGTGCCAAGACCATACAGGTCATGAAAAATCTGAGGGCTGCACTAAGCTACTGCAGCTACCTGGAGTCTCAAGTGGCTGAAAATTCAAGTCAGCCAAACTCCCTTATTCCGGGCTACAGCAAAGGCATGGAGCAGGAATCTCTATTGGCCTTGTGCTGTCAGATCTTTTTGGGCTTTGTGCTACTGCAGGGTCACAGTGCTGCTCTTTCCAGCCTACTACTGTGTGGCCCTCTGGAGTAGCAGGACAGCCTCAGGCAATGGCTCTGCATCACAAAACATGGCTTCACATGTATAGTTAGAGAAAGCACTAGACAGGGTGGGCATCAAACATCTCTCCGAACAGAATTCATTTTCTGCTTGCATCTGCTTTGGAGCTACAGACTGTTCCAAAGCTGGAGAAAAATCCGAACAGCTCATGTGGAAGCACCTTCCCCTTGGATTTTTATTATCACCATTTTTAAGAATGTATTTTGTACCAAAACACTGTCAGCATTCTTTATACGATGAAAAATGACACAGTCATCGTGAATCATGGAGAAGAGTAAAAACAGAGCAAGACAGGAACATTTCATATTGAGGTTCAATCCGGAGTACAAACAGAATCTGATGTATAACTTAAAAGCCATACACCAGATAAAAAGACCATCTGGAAAACAACAGGTTTTCACTTAATTTTGAAAAAGGAAAAAAAGTCAGGGGGCTTCAATCTTAAGGCTAAAATTTCCATTATTCACTCATTTTGTAGGTGGGAGCCCAATTCTTACCTCATTCACAGCAGCACCCCCTGGCTTCACAGAGAGATCTGCATTTGAGTGAAGCAAGAATCAGGCTTCTATGCCTTTGTGCTCAGAGGACTCTGGTTGACCTCAGCAGCCTTTGGACTAAAGCCATAGCTGGAATTTCAGCTTGCAGTCTAAGGCTTCTTAACTGCAGGCCAAATTAGCACAAAATGAGGCTTTGCAACTGGCATTCTACCCTTCACTTTGGATATTCCAGTTCTGGTTGCTTTGAAACACTTCTTTATTGCAAGCTTAATATAGCTCTGTTTGTGAGATTATTTTTTCTCTCTTTTTTTTTTAATACTGTGCTACAAATGATGCTTTTATATTCTGTGTCCCTACATTACATGTCTTCAAAATTGCCTAAATATATGTTTATATCATGATTATAACTACTCAGAAAGACTTGCCGTGGTCTACTGTGAGCAGCCAAGGAAAAAGAGCTTTTACTCCTAAAGAAGTCAAGAAAAGTGGTTGTGTTCATTTATAGTGTAGCACAATGACTCTGTTTATACAGCTATACCTACTAGTTAAAAAGCTACTTGAAAAGTTATTATTCATGTGCAGTAGATGATTTTCAAGCATTAATAACTTGGCTGTCTAGACAAGTTTTAATTGTCATATCAAAGGCCGAATATGTTCTCAAACGAGCGCAAAAAAAATCTCCCATCTCCCCTGGAAAGAGGCTAGTTCTCTTGCTGAGCTAAGAGACTGCCAAATTTTACTTCTTCTCAAGTTATAAAAGCACAGCTACAAATTTGCTGTTTAATTTTTAAAAACAGATTGACTTTAACTCAAACCTATCCTGCACAGCAAAGTTAGTAAGCCCTGAAAAACAGTTCAGTGAATATATGCAAAAAGCTCCCACCATGTACCATGCCCACATTTTCCCAGGGCCCAGAGGGCTCCGTTAAAATGTAACTCAGTGTTCAATACGAAACATGAATTTTCCAGAACGATATGTAGAGTTTACCCAAAGAACCCAAGACATTTTGTACATTCAAAATGTTTACACTTTGCTGTTCTTAGCCATCAGTAAGATTGTTCGTTTTTACTAATACATACAATGAGTATAAATAAATAAACTACAGATAAGCTTTAAAAATTGTATTAACAGTACATTGTGCAAAAACTTGTAACAATCTACATTCTATGCAAATACCCTGACTAAAATATACAGGCTAGTGTCCTCATACCCTCATTCAGTTTTTTGCACAGTCCTTGGACAAAATCAGCAGCTGGGAGCAATCAGCAGGATGCCACTGCAAGCCATGGAGGTTAGCTGATCAACACCAGCAGCAGATCTCGCCCCTGGGCATGTGCAAAAATCCCATAGAAATCAATGGGAGTTGTGCTTGACTAAGGACTAAACAGTTTGATTGTACCCCGATAAAGTGAATAGCAGATTTGCCATTGATTTCTGTGGAACCAGGCTCAGGCCCCGGGTAAGGACGTCAACATGTGGCCCTACGTTGTGCTACACTACTCCACTTCAGTGCAGAAACAATATTTGCAAAAGAAAAACCTTTTTTTGTTGTTGTTACTGCTGTGCAGTAACTGATTTTAGTGCTGTGTTTCAGAAATCACCTTTCTGTGAGATTTGAAACGAGACTGCAAGTCTTTCTGAATCCATTCCATTGATTATCCAGCACAAGTGGGCTATTTTGATCAAAGAAAAATGGCTCGATGTCTATTAACCACCAATGTTCTTCATTAAATTAGACAACAGCCCAGTTCATCGGCACAGGCGTGAAGAACTGCACACAGAGAAGGAACAGCCTTCCTACTATGGTTGTGTCCAGAGCCGGCTGTCACTTCTCCACACAGACGATGGCACCTGAGCCGGTTTGGAATCTACAGTTCTAACAAGTTCAGCCAAGTTTTGTAAGCTGAAGATCTCCATTTATCTTTATCGTGTCAATTGCTGACAGTGTTTCAATACGGTGGTAAAAATCAAAGAGCTGATGTCCATCCACAAATATTCTAAAACGGGGATGCTCACAAAGTATCTCAACCTGTAAAAAATAAAATGATGAACCATGTTCACAACATAACTGGGAAGATCTTTCACAGGATGCAAAGAGCACCTTTAAAGCAGCACTGGTATGGCTACACATCTTGCTACTTGCACGCCATGTAACAGAGAAAGCTGAGCCCACTTTGCCCCCATGACCCCAGTTCCACTACAAGGGATCTGCTCTCACTTCTCAGAGATGTTAATCCAGTCTCACACTGTCACAGTAGGGAGAAGCCCCAAACCCTGATGCACAACTCTGCAGATTATGGTCCTGCTGGCACCAAGGAGGTTTTCTCTCTGTGAATAATGCCAGAAGCAAACTGCTAATTAAAGGTATATCCAACCCAAATCTTGCATTCCTTGCTACAGATGTTTTCTTCCCCCTGCAGAATGAGGGGGCAGTTTCCTCTGCAATGTTTTCCACACTGCCATTAATTCAGTGGAAGAAAGCAAACATGAGAGGGATAGGTTTGCCCTCCCCTCCCACACACCAGAACTGCACATACACAGCTGCTGTGCAACTAAAAAGCTTTTGCTGTGGTGACCGCACACAGTCCAACTGCCTGTTGGACTAGGGGCTGCAGTGAGGGAGACGTAGCACAGGATAGCTTGATTACAGTCAGACAGCCACCAGAAGCACAGACTGCACCAGGGAAGGATAAAGCTCATCTCTCATCCTACAGCCCTGGAGAAATAATCTGGAAAAGCCACAAGGAGAACTAGACCACTCATTCTGGATAAAGCCAAAGATTCCTGATATTAAGGGTGGCTTGATGCCTTGCAGATAAGCTTTGATAGAGCTGCCCCATCAAGAAGACAAGACGTGAAGGCACCAAACATGCTTTTTCTACGGGCTTTTTCTCCAGGTCCAGAGAGGCTGAGAAGAAAATCTGCACGGAAGCCATGTGTAAATCCCAGGTTGTTTCTGAGGCTGGTAGTCTGGAGCAAAGTGAGTGATAAACTGAGCAAGTCCAAGCACACCTGACTCAGGGCATGTCATACTGGGGCAGTAGAAGCACACTGCCCATGGGGACCTGGTAGTGCACCACGTTAGCAGGGAAGCACTCATGCTGTTACGCAGCTCTGGTGTCACTGCAGGTGCATCCAGCCCCAGGCCTTGTTATGTAAAAGATACGGTTAGCCTCAACGCTGCTTACAATCCACCCTGGGCCATAGCAAAATGATAATTGAACAGGATCACAGGTAATTGGCAAGAGCACTTAAATACTCCCGTTTAACTTAGTCACTGAGGAAACCATCAAAGATGCAAAGTAACTGGGAGCCCAAATTCCATTTGGAAAAATAAGAAGGAAGAAAAAAAATATATGAAGAACTCCTACAGTATCTCACACTAAATGAAAAATACTGCTGTCTTCTGGTGCCAGCTGTCATCAGTAGGACACCTGCAGAACATACTCAGGGCAATTTGTCTGCCCTGTCAGTGCCCAGTCACTCCCATGGCAGCAGGCAGCCCATCCCTCTTAGCCAAAGCAGGACCAAGGATCCACGCCCTGCTAAGCACCAAAGGGTGTTGCCAGCTGTGACGGGGGAGATCGTAGAAGCAAGTAGAGCGCAACCAATAGGCAGCAAGACCTGTCATAAACACTCTCTGAAAGCCCAAGCCTCTGGAGAGACGGTGAGCTTTTGGGGTTGGGGGAGATTATCTTGGGGAGAAGAAGGATTACGAGAGTTTGGCAGCTGGTCAGAATGGTGGCACTAAGCAAAGGGGCCAGCAAGGTTTCATAAGAGGGGTGGGGAGGAGCAGGAGGGTTTTTCTGGGTCAGCCGCACAGAGAAGGCGTGCAGTCCTTTTTCTCACGTAGTCAAACTGCTAAGAGAGAAGCAGCCCTCTGCAGCTGCATACTTTGTTAGTCTTGATTAGCAAAGACATCTTCACATAGCCATAAACACCACAGATGGGAATCTGCTTCTAGGTCAACCCAGTCCATCCCATGCACACGAGATTTCCACGTATGCTATTTCCAAGTGACTGTAGGCTTAAATTTGGCAGGAGACTTAATCCCAGGGTTCAGAGAAGAATACCACTATCGCTCAGCTATTTAATCTGCTGACACAAAGGGCTACGGCCAGCCTCTGCATAACATCCCTGGAGGAAAAGGATGAACAAGATCCTCATTAACTGCGCTAAACTGCAAACACTACGTCCACTATAGAAATCATCCAAACCCACGGCAGTCCCACAGAGTATTTACATTCTCCAGTAATAACTTGAAATGCAGTAATAACATAGAGGTACTTTTTAATTTATAGCTATAAAACTAAGCTCAGGAAGCACGCTTCATCACACAGCATTACAACCTCCGACTTGTCATAACACCCTGTGATGTGTTTACGGCCCCATCGGAACTGCCTGCAGGTGCAAGGCAGCACAGAAGCAGGCTCTGCACAACACAGCGTGTGATCCATGGCAGCAACTCGGCCATCAGCACCGCAGCCAAAAGCAAGTGTGAGGATGCTAACAGAGGTGGCACGCACTCACCCGAAAAGGCTGGTCCGGTATAAATGGGAAGTAAGGAATAGACGACTGCTCTTCTCCCCATTCTCCAGCTACACACGAGTTTCTGATGAACTGCCTGTCTGTGAATACAGCTTTCAGCTCGATGGCCACATCCGCAGGAGGATCCTCCGACTCCCCACAGGTCAGGCTGATGCCAAAGCTGCAACGCAAACACAACCGCTTTCATTCAGCCAGAACACCAGCATGCAAACCCCAAATGCAGCTGGTTTCTCAGCGCACTGAAACCGTCAGCAGCACAGAGCTCATGCAGGGAATGCCCAAAGAGCTGTGCAGGGCAAAGGACACGGCTACAGCACACAGCTAGGTGCGTGTGCCGCATGTATATGTGCCTATGTGATCCAGCGCGAGTCCTCCTTTCCTTCAAGCGAAATGCTGGGAAACGGGATCCGGTAAAGAAATACCCCCTCTATGGGTCAAAGGAGAAACCAGCACGCTATATTTAAAGCGATAAAAATAATCCTTCTCTAGAAAGGAGAGACCGTGTGTGTGCGTGTGCGTGCGGGTGGGCTCCCACCCCCCCGGCCGGGCCCGGCGGGTTTCACCTCTCGGGGTTGAGGTCCACGATGCCCATCACCAGGATCTTCTTCCCCGGCCGCATCCCTCCTTTGATGTGCCCACAGAAGGGGACGATCTGCCAAGGAGAGGGGCGGCGGGTCACTCGGTTGCGCAGCCGAACGGGGGGGGGGGGGGGGGGGGGGGGGCGGGGGGCAATGGGGGAGGTTGTTAAAAGCAGTCCAAAAATGAAAGCAGCAAGAAAAAAAAATTACCAGCCGAGGGAAGTACACATCAGCCTGAACCGGGGATCCCAGGGAGTTGTTTAAATGCCCGTCCTCTATTTTCTGCAGGTAGAAAGCAGAGCGCTGAGGCAGGCAGAGGCAGCAGGGCCCCTCCCGGCCCCCCGCCTCTCCCCTCCGCAGGTGCGTGCCCCGGGCAGCTGCACAGCAGCAGCACAGCAGCAGCACAGCAGCGGCAGCACCCGCCTCCGCGCCGCAGGTGCCCGCCGCTCCCCCAGCCCCGCACCGCGGCGGCACTCACCAGAGCGTCCCGCTCGGCCACGGTCCCCGCCATCTTGTGCGAGCGGCGGCGGCGCCGGGGACGGGGAGGGGGCGGCGGGGTAGGGCTGGGCTCCGGGGGAAGCCCGGCGGCTCGGGGGGCAGCGGCGGAGCCGGAGCGGTGCCGGCGCAGAAGTAGGAAGGCAGAGAGGAGGAGGAGGAGGAAGAGCAGAAGGGGAGGTGGCCGGCGCTGCCTCGCCCGGCGGGGAGCGGGGAGAGC